CAGATCAATGCTCTGAGATCAGAGAAACCTTTCTCCAAGTGGGAGATTCATCTCAAGATTCATCTCAAGTGTTGCAAATAATGGAAATTGAGCTAAGCCTCTTGTATGAGGTTCTTCACACCAAGTTGCCTGTGGTTGGTTGCATGATGGGATACATTTTCAGGTTCATTACTATGTGTTGCATCTTGGTAGCGTTGTTGTCTTTCTCATTATTTAAGAAGTATTATCTACTGAAGCAGTTAGACATGTGGCTAACCTATGGTTTGCTAATCTGGGCCTTTGTGTTGGATATCATATCTATTGTATTACTCCTCTCCTCCGACTGGATTTTGGCTGCTCACATCCAGAATACGAAGTCGAGATTCTTCAAGAAGCGCAGGTGGTCTAGAGCAGTTTCCCAGTTGAATTTTATTACTTACTATGTTAGTGATTATCCAAGTTTATTGAAAGAAGTTGCTGATTTTCTTCGCATAAGGGGTTTGTTGGAAGACATAAAAGGAATCCGATGTCTATCTTCCAAAGATTTCAAAGAAGACGACCCAGAATGGCGGTTCATTTTTGAGGAAGTGAAAGAATTAAATGAGTTTTTGAATAGTAAAATGACAGCCCCGTCTCAGACTGTGCTAGACACCAAGCAAGTTTGGTTATATGGTCGTGAACGAGTTCTTCAAGGTTTTACCATTTCTAATGAGCTCATTAATATTGTGGAGGAGTTAGATTACACGAAAAGTGTACTAACATGGCATATAGCCACTGAATTATGCTTCGAAGGAGTAGACCAAACGTTTACATCAGGGAATGGGAGTATAAGTCACAGAAAATTTTGCAAGCTGCTCTCAGATTATATGTTTTACCTACTAGTAATGCAGCCAGCTAGTATGGCAGCTGTTTCTGTGAGTTGGAAAAAGGTGTTCGAAGAAACATTGGCAGAGACCGCGTTATATGTAAGAAGGAGTTCAATCTCAAATGATGAGGATGCTCACGAAAAAATTCGTCAACTGATCCCAAATTTCAGAAATCCAGAAAGGGATATAAGTAGATCGGTGTTATTTGCTGCATCTGAGCTTGCCAAACAACTAACGTCTAACAGTACTCCTTGGGAGCAAATGAGCAAAGTTTGGGTACATTTAATGTGTTTTGCTGCTATGAACTGCAGGCCACACGTCCATGCACAGCAACCTAGTAAGGGCGGTGAACTTCTCACATTCGTTTGGTTGCTCATGAATCATCTGGGACTTGGGACTCACTTTTCAAGCCGTTACTGATGCTACATAGTGAATTTGATGAAAACTGCTTTCAGCGTAGTTTTATCTTTCTTTGTATAACTAGCTACTTGTTGCTGATGATGGACTTATGTAATCAGTTGTTTTAGTTTCTACAAATGATATCACATCTTTGCCCCATGAGTCTAGCTTCGAGCTACTAATTTTCACTTGTAATTAAAATTTCAGTGCTGGAACGGTGTCTTCTTCCCTCCCTTGTCCAATTTATCTTTCACGTCCCCAATTTTTTTCTAATCCAGTAGCATTTGTTGAAGTGTTTTTTTAATTTCTATCTAAAGGTAGATGTTAAGGAAACGTTAACTTTATATTTTTTATTAATTGCTATGAAAAATATAAAAAGTGATTTTAATTTTATTAATTACTTAATTAAAATCATGTATGTATTATTAGTGTTTGAAAATAAAATTAATTTTTATATTTATTTATATAAATTAATGAAAAAATGCAATTAATATACCTTTAACTCATGTTTTAAGGTGTCAAACTATATAAATCTTTGTTGAAAAATAGATATTGAACAAGAAATCATAAGAAACGTGATGAAATGAATAACATAAAACTATTGAAATGGTTTGAGAAATATGAAACTCAACTCTGAAAATATTTTCTCACCCATCATTTACACAAAAATACAATGAAAAATAATGTTGTATTCAATTACAGTAAATGGAATTCTACTAACTCTCCTCCAAATATAACACATTTTGATAAAATAGTTTCTCTAACACAATTCCTCTAAATATTAAGGAAAAATTTCATTAAATCAAATAGTATTTTAATTTTTAAATTGATTTAAAAATTAATAATCATTTAATTAAAAAATTATATTATTTAAAT